GGATGATTGAAATTTAAAAAAAGGGGAGGGGATATGTGCTGGAGGGGGCAGAATTTCCCAGCACCCTTTCTCCCTCAAGTGATGAAAAAGAGAATAGTTGTCATCCAGTGGATTAGCAGTATGTTAGGCTTGACATAAGTGTTTATTTACAGAATATATAATTGGCCAATTCCCAGCTTTAAGATGTCGTGGTGGTATTTAACTCAGTGTTTAAAATGAAATACAGAAATTCATAGAATAGACCTATCAAGAGTTATTTGACAGAAAATAAAATACCATAAATTGAGTTGGTATAATTCCAAATAGCAGGTACTGGGAAACAAACAACAAGGATGGCTACCAGCTTTATGCTTGTTTGGAAATGTCTTCCTGAACTAGTATCCCCCCGATATAGAATATCTGGATGGATATTTTAAGAGTTCTAGCTCCAGCACTGTTGGAAGACATCAAGTGAGGAACATTAACTACTGACAGTTGATTGGCAGCTGAACTAGATGAAGTTCGATCTGCTGCAACAAGGAAGTTCTTTCATTTGTAGTCTGTGTCAGACGTTGGATATATATGAAATGGAACTACTGTTTGAGAGGAATTTATTTGAGGCTTTTGCTCTAACAGAGAAGATCAGCCTTCTATAACCTAAACCAGTTGGCTGCTCTACAGTACCCCTAATTCTCAGCCATTATAACCATAGTTAGGTATGGCTGAAATAGGTCTAAAGTTCTGGCATACCTGGCTTCTGCAGAAAATAGTCGTCCAGTGTTGGGGTACTTACAACTGGAAGGAGAATCTTCACAACCACATTAAAGGGATTTTTTTTCCATTGTTCATAGTCACTCGTGCACACACAGGAGTGCACAGACCACTTCCAAAGGATTCCAGAAGAATACTTTGTAGACATGATTTGACATTTCTATCCAATGTTCATGTTCAGCTTCTGTTACTAATTAGTATACTATCTGCTTTGTTTGTTGGTTATAAACTAGATGTGTTAACATCCATATTTATTCCTCTTTCAGTAGTATTTTATAGACTGTCTTCTGCATGAAGCAGTCCTTTACAGTATTAAGCTCAACCAAATCTCAAGTAACGATAAAACCAAATAAATATTCATAACATTGTATACAACTGTTGTAGTAAATTGCTAAAATTCAGAAAAATGTCTTGTTTTTATTTGCTTTCCTGTCTTTGCTTGCCTTTTTTTTCCCCCAGTCACCAGAAGAAAATTGGGTGGGTGAGTCCATGGAAGAGAATAAAGGAGTAGAGTGGCCCATATCACTTGGCACTGTACTTGGGGGCTATCATTTTTAATTCTCCTTTACTTAAAAAAACATCATGAACAGGATATTAATATTCCTGAAGCAAAAGTTCTATTTCAGCCCTTGGAGAGCTTGTTTTTTGTTTGCAGAAATAGAAAAGAGAAGGAGCACTCAAAATTATGATTTGCTGCCTCAAACCTCAATTGGTGTATTCTATTCTGTCATTGATATGTGTGTAAAATTAAATAAGAGATTAATGGATAGTCAAACTACAATGCATTTTAGTTCAATCTAAGTTGTTACCTCAGATATGTTTAGATAATATATATTTGATTTAAACATGAAGCAGAACTGGATGGTAGATGTTCTTAGGTGGAATTCTGGGGTGTTTTTATTCAAATCCCCAATGTAAGTGACTTATATCATCACTTTGAGAAATCTTTGTCTGTCTGTCTCTCATGCATGCACCACAGAGACATCCATACACATGCACACAATCTAAAAAAATGGTACAATCCAGAGTTATGTCACCTTATTCTGCATGATTTCCAAATGAATAACTAATGCTTATTGTCCTGTGGTCTTCTATGATCAGGACTTACGCTGATAATGAGTAGTCTGATTGTTCTACTTGACATATTAACACTTCTGCCTCACGTGAAATGTTCAACCTATTGAAAGTTATAGCACTAAAGTTGCCTATATTGTTCTATGGATGTTACTAATAGTTAACCCTTTCCGTCTGAAATTCCATTTAGATATACTAGAGTGTCCTTTAAAAAAAACTCTCAAACTTTAAAGTGAATTTATTCTAAGTGTTCATTGTTTGTATTTTTTGTAGATGGTATCATGGAGCAATCAGTCGGACAGATGCAGAAAACCTCTTGCGCTTGTGTAAAGAATGTAGCTATCTGGTGAGGAATAGTCAAACAAGCAAGCATGACTATTCGCTTTCATTAAAGTAAGTATACTTTAAACAAATTATAGGCACGATGTTAAGCAGATTTTTAGGGTGCAGTAGCAGCTACCACACATTCCTTCAACTTGACACTAAAAAGGCCTCCCCATGCCCCATAGGAATTTTAGAATTCCAAATGTCAGACTGGATTGCTTTGAATGACAGTTCTGAGATTTGGTTGTAATGCTCCAGGGACAAGAACCGGGGTTTTGTTTTGCTTTGTTTTGTTTTTAGTATTTATCTGGCCCTTTTATCTCTTCTTGCTGTTGATTAAAATGTTTCTGTAACTCTATCTTTTTTTTCTCTCTCAACATTTAATAAACTGATTGGGTTGCTTGTTTTTCCTTCTCTTTCCCTGCTTCGACAACCATTTAAACCAACAAAGCACAAAGAGATTGTATTGTACGGAATACAGTGAATGAAAATATTAGACTTATTGACTGGTAAAATACCACGTAAAATTTCTCCAAGTAAAACAAGCAGTGGAGATTGGGGTGGAATAGAAAGGGTTCTGTTCTTAGGGAGATATCAATGGTTACCTTAAAAAGAATGAGGAAAAAGTGTAAGTAATCATTTAAAAAAATCAATACTACAAATTTTTGACTGCAGCCATAAATATATTTACCTGAGATTAAATCCTATTAAATTGACTAACATTTATTTCCAAATAAACATGCAAAAGATCAGATTTTTAAATATTTTTTCCGCAATCAATAGTATCTACAAATATATGAATTGGAACAATTGTAATATTTAAACATTCGTTCTGTAAGACACCCAGAGTCACTAGGTGACATGGGCAGCTGTATAAATTGAAGAAGGAAATAAAACAAAATGAATGCATGCATTATATTTTGTGTTAATGAAAATGCAGCATCCCATTCTCCTTATATTTTATTGAATCAATCTGTTGTAAATTCTAGGAAGTCTTGGTCTAGGCCAATAACCAGTTTTATTCTTCCCATAGTCATGGAATTATTTCTTTCTAATTAACATCAATCCAAAATTTGTTCAGGGGTAGTTTAGATAAGCAAAAACAGTTATTTGAGGAAAGGCAACAATATCATCTCACTGTCAGCATTAGAGTCCCTGGAGGGTTCTTTTTAATCAACAATAAGCAACATTACATTATTATTTATACATTTGACTGATTTGCCACAACAGAACTCTCAAGGATCGTGGCTTAGCAGTGGACAAGAATCTTGCAGACGCTCCCATGTCTGCCACCCGCAATTATAGCTGGACAAAGGACTGGTCCCTTTGTGACCCATAGCTTCTTTCTCTGGCTCATTCCTCTGGAAGCAAACAGGAAATCGTATTTAGTGAGGCCCTAAACAAACCATGGAGGGTTTGCACCTACCATTGGGAACACCTAATAAGTTATTAGAGTAACATGTACCTGCTCACTTCTTATTCAGTACTGAACCCAAACTCTTGAAAATCTTGGCTTACCATGTTTTTCAAAGACAATAACTCCCTTCACAGCTAAAGTGTAAAGCCACATTCTAGCTCTAGCTCTTAACACTTTTTTTTAATGCAAGCATACATCTCCGAACATAAAAGAGAGAATTCTTTTCAAGGTTATTTTGGTTAGCATTGATGCTAAAGTTTGGGTAGTGTAAAAGCAAGAAGTTTTTGTTTTGCTAAAAACACCCTTAAAACTCAATACACTATTTCTGGCTGAGGTTTCTCTCTTCTGAGGTTAGTAGCTAGCTGTTCACTATATATGTTCTTATTCAGATAAAAACTGTGGGAAGGGGTCATAATTCTGTGGTCCAGACCTTTGTATCGAAGGAAAGGGATCTCACATACCAAGCTAAGAAAATCCTCTGCTTAAGACTCTAGACCAACCTTATCAACTCTAAAATGTGTGGACTTCAACTCCCAGAATTCCCCAGCCAGCCATGCTCTAGACAGCCACAACCATTTGGTGTACATAACACAAGTTAAAGTAACTAATAGTGTTACTCATATACTTTTGTGCAACGTGAACTTCACTTAGATATAAATCAAAGCAAGACCTTTCAAATCAATGTCATTGAAGCATACTGTAAGGAAAGGGTTAGCTGCTGGCTTGATGGGCCTCAGACAAGATGTCTTTGGTGGGATTTCTTTCTCTTTCTGGGAGAATCCATTTCCTCTTTGTTATTGTCATCATTAACTATTGTTCCCCCCCACACACACACACACACAAACACACACCGGGCATAAATGAAGAGTGGAACATAAATGAGTCTTCTGAATTTTTCTCTGTTTGAAAGTAGAGTGCAGGTGAATGGCCAGAGACAACAAGGGGTAGAAGGAACAGAGCCAGGAGACTTTGGAAGTCCCCAAACTGGGATGTGGGCCTCAACCTCCCAATACCAGCCCTGGGTTCAGTTCTAGAAGGAAGAGGAGGAAATATGGTGCTGCTAAAACAGTAGCTATCTATAGCTTTGACCTGTCCTTTCTTCACTTCATCTAAGAGAGTTTGGATGGGTGAAACCTAAAACCTGGGGCATTTTGAGGGTGGATATTTTCCTAGTTCAGAACCATGAAATACACTCCCAGCTGGACTAGGAAAGTTAAAAGGCAACACGCTGCTTTACAGTAGTTTTACACTTCAGAATAATGTTTTGAAGGCTTTTTTCTGCCATCACATCAGTTTTCACAAAACATCATCTGCCAGCATTATGTACAATAATTTTTCCAAAAGAGATTATATATGTCCTGTACCATATACTCTGTATAATGAGTATATTTTAGGCACTCCTTTTAAAAAGGAAATCAGGAAGAGAATTATTTTACCCCTAATGACTGATCTCTTCTTCCAAGGGTTCCCCTAATAAATAGATTATTTCAATAGACTCCTACCATCAGGTAGAATCTCCCAACATATTCTAGTCTATTCAGCAGGAAAATTTTCAGCTACCAAATATTTGTCCCTGTAGCCCATCTCCGGGAAAAATAGAAAAGAAGGTCCTCCCCAAAGCCCATGAGTACAGAAGTTAATAAAACCTTATGAACATTTTGAAAACACAAAAGGTAGCTGTGCAATTTTACACATTAGAAAGGTTGTAATAAGAAATTTCTTTTTCAAATAATCTGGCTCTGTTTCTCAATTCTTCAATGAGTTTATCTCAGACAGAGGAATAACAGGTAAAACAAGGGAAAAGGATGCTCCCAGAAACAGAATTCTGAATCAAATCAATGTGGCACTAGTCATGCTATTAGTAGAAGTTGCTTGAGTTGGCACTCAGACTTTCAGCACAGATGTGGCGTTCACTGCAGAGCAAATACTTGGAGAGAGAGCTTCTGGGCTTCTTATTATTAGTTCCTGTTGATTCCCCTCATTGGGAATCAGGAACTTAGTCCTTAGCCATTAGAACATTAGAACTGAGGACATTAGTCTTACATTACACTAATTAGAACATTAGAACTTAGAACATTAGTCTCAGAAATTTATAGAAAGCAGAGAAAGCTGACCTCTTAGGCGAGATTGTTGCTGTGCCCAGTTAAACAATATGCCCCATCTCTGATTGCCCAGGTCGAGCTAGCAAATTACCAGGTGTCTGAGCCCATCTCCTAGTGAACCTATAGTTGAATGCCAAAGCAGCTGTTCTGTTCCAACTGGTAAAAGTAGTTTTTGCTTATTGGCAATGCAAGTTTATATGTCACATATATTTAAGATTTCTTTTCATTAATTTTCTGAAATACACAAAGATAAAAAGTTACATATATGCAATTTATTTATTTATTTATTGCATACAAGAAGGACCAATATATTTAAAACTGATGTTCTTAATTATATTCTTTACACTTAGGATGGAACTGTATTAATTGAGAATCAAATTATCTGATTATCAGTTTATCTGGACCCATTCCAGTCAGGTTTCAGGCCAGGGTACAGTACAGAGGTAGCATTGGTTGCATTTGTTAATGACCTGCGGCAAAGCCGGAGTGGTGCTAGTGCATCCATCCTGGTGCTCCTTGATCTCTCAGTGGCTTTCAGTACTGTTGATAGTATCCTTTTGGGCCAGCTTTGGGTGTTGGAAGTGGGAGGTCCCATCTGCAATGGTTCTCCTCCTTTCTCTGTGGCCTGTTTCAGTCAATATTGGTGGGGTGTGGAGAAGAGATTGCACCCATGACCCCTCACTTGTGGACTGCTGCAAGGTTCAACACTTTCTTCCTTCTTGTTTAACATCCGCATGAAACTGCTGGGCGAAGTCATCCATCAGTTTGAGGTCATGTATCATCGATGTGCTGATGATATCAAATTGTACATCTTGACCTTGGACTGACCAAGTAATGCTATCAAAGTCCTGCTCCACTGTCTGGAGGCTGGGTGAGCCTGGATGGGGAGGAACAGACTCAGGTACAATCCTGACAAGACTAAGTATCTAGGTTTGTTCTGGGAATATTCCATCTTTAGGCTTTGATGGGGTTGCACAATCTGGGGGTCATCTTGGACTCATAGCTCCTGTTTGAAGAGCAGGTAGCATCTGTGGTTAAGAGGGCCTTTGCACAGGTTAACTTTGTGTTCCACTTGCACCCATTTCTAGACTGGGAAGCCCTTCAGACAGTCACTCACACCTTGGTCACCTGACAAATGGATTACTATAATGTGCTGTGCATGGGACTTCCCTTGAAAACCACCCAGAAGCTACAGCAGATCCAGAATGCAGCAGCATAGGCAATGATGAGTGGGTCACAGTATGTGTCCCCAGGGCTTAGTCAACTGCACTAGTTAGCTTCCAGGTGTAGTTCAAGGTGCTGATTATTACCTATAAAGCCCTTCATGGCATAGGGCCTGACTATTTGAGGGATCACTGGTCTCCAAATGTTTCTGCCCGTCCATTGAGGTTAGGCAGAGTGGGCACACTTTGGGTCCTGTCAATTAAACAATGTCATCTTGCAGGATCCAGGAAGCATGCCTTCTCTGTTGTGACACCTGCCCTAAGGAATGATATCTCCCCAGAGATATTAGCTCCCACCTTAATGACTTTCAGGGAACTATTAAAAAC